GTGCCTAAGGTGGATGTCCTGGTGGTGGCCTCTGTAATTAACAGCAGTTATTTTAAGGTTTGTAACGCTAAAGGCAACAGAAAAAAAACTTAAATATTTCCACGAGCAGAGTCTCTTCACAATCAGCTGTTGCTTATTATGAAAAATGATTAAAAGTTGCTCCTTTAATAAAGAGTGGTTTTCACTAAGGGCCACAATGAGAAATGTTTGCTTTAATTTAGTCTAAAATGTTTGTCTTATATGACAAATTCCTCAACCAGTCTACAAACAACTTTATTAGACTTTAAAATGTTTATTTCAGAAAAGTAATGCATTCTGACTACAGTTCTATAAAAAGGCTACTCACAACAACAATCTTTGGCTACCTTTACCTAATATTACAATTTGTTTAATGGTCTGAAACATGTAAGTGCGAGAAATATACAAGAAAACTTCAAAATGCAAATACTTTGTTCATAACACTGCGCTTGTGGCTGTACAAACTGTAGCTACAACTAGCCAACATTTAAAAAAAATATCTTGAAATTTAACTACAAGTCCTCTGCCAGGATTAAAGGCTAGATTAGTTTTTGAGATTTGAGATACATTTTTTCATATTAATCCCATCCTAACATAACTGTTATGTGCCGTCCTTCTTTCAGCTGAGTCCTCCCCAAAAAAGTAGGATACCACAAATTCACCGCAGAAATGGCAAAGTATTTAGGGACTCAGTCATATGTGTGCGGGCAGGAAACCATGCAGTCGAGAACCTCTCACAACCCATCACGTTAACCTTCAAACACAACAAAGAGGTAAAAAGACAAAAGTGTTGGACGAACATCTGAAATAGAAAATGTAACAACCTGTTTACCGTTCATTTTGATTCCAGGTTGAAAGTGGAACGTGTGTATTTTGGAAGGAAACATCAGCAAATGATGGAACAGGTACTATTGGAGATGTCAACCTTCAGTGTTTTTGTTTCTAAATAAAATGACTCAGCTACTCAGAATGTTTTCTTTATAGGTTACTGGAGCAATGAAGGCTGTGACACAAATTACATGGCGCATGAATTTATTTGCAGCTGCAACCATCTGAGCTTCTTTGCTGTGCTTGTGGTGAGCTGAAAATCTCTTCCTACATATGATAAAAGCCTTTGGCAAACACCATGTTTATCTAATTAATATTTAATTAGATAAACATGTTGATAAACAATTTAAATTGAGAGGCTGTCTCAAATTTATACTGTATAAATAGCCATGTATTTAGTTCCAGTCTTTCCACAACCAAATGACCAGAGCTGAAATGTCAGCAATACACTCAAAGATGATAATTATGATATTTAAATTATAATTATAGTTATAAGTTCACTGTACACATACTTTTGTTGTGCATGTACAATAACAATAAAGGGCTATTCTATTCTATGAGCAAACTACTGTGTTACACATAGATGTATATATAAAATATATATATAAAAGATAGAGGGAGCCACCAGTCACAATTTAAGGCTATGGGTCAGCACACCTGTCACTCTAATTTTAAGCTTTGCCAGCACATGGATCACTTATAAAATAATTAACTCGTCATATAGTTGTGATGAAGGGTGAACCAACCAATACATTCCCAACCATGTATTGCACCAAAATGTAAACATCTTGCCATCTTAACATGGAAATGTCACGGTTCTGGGTCCGTTGGACCCAGTATTTTGAGTTTATTATATTTTGGTTTTGGTTTTATTCTGCTTCATGTATTGTTTGAGTTCCATGTATGTATTCCATGTTATTTTGTCTCTCAGTGTCAAGTCTGCGTTCTTGTTTAGTAATTCATGTTTCCTGTTTTATTGTGAAAGTCTTTGTCTTATGTTAGTGTGTGCAGCTTGGTTCCCCCCGTCTCGTTAGCCCTGATCTCTCCCAGCTGTGTCTCCCTTCTGTTGCCCATTCCCTCATTGCTACCCTGTGTATTTAAGCCCTGTGTTTTCCCGTGCTCGGTGTCGCGTCGTATCCTCAGATTATGCCTGTGTGTTTTTGGTGTCAGTGTTCAGTCTTCACTTCATGTTTTGTTTTCATGCCAGCAATAAAGCTGAGGTTTTGAGTTGCATTCTGTTTTCCGAGTCCTGCATTTGGATCCTCATCTCCGCCTGCCCGCACACAGAACCCTGACAGGAAATTTAGCGATTGATCAATTAACAAATTTTGGTCTACTACTAAAACAAATTTCTTATGTAAAATACATTTCAAAACAACAACTTCATCTTTTTATGTTGCAGAATCCAGGGATATCGGTGACAAAAGCTGATGCTGACAAGCTAAACTACATCACTTACATTGGATCGGGACTCTCCGCCCCCTTCGCATTGATCAGTTTGTTCATCTATATTTATCTACAGTGAGTAGATGTCATATTATTCACATTTAAAACTTTATAGTTTTCAGTTCCCAATTGTGATCAAATGAGAAACTGGAGAAAATAGACTGTATAAAAGCTATTCAGTTCGTTAGTGACAGCAGCTCAGTGATAAGGTCTCTGACCACAACACCCACACTCAAACATAAGCAGACCAGTTATAATAAGAGATGAAAAAATAAGAACAAACTTCATAAGAGTATCGGTTTGATGAAGGAATTAAAGAAGTACCAGGTTGTTTCCAACTGCTTCTTAAACAAAGTATGCACAATTTGGACTTCTATACCTGGCTTATGCTCATGCTAGCCTTTGGCTTCCAGCTGTCTTCCCCTAAATCAGTGATTAATGACCCACTCTTAGTCACATTAAGTTTAAGGAAATCGTCATTCCAAACATTTAACAAATGCAGGCAAAGCATCAGCCAGACCTGACTGTGAGGTCTGAAGAGGAGGCAGCAGTGCAGTGTTATCAGGAAACTTCAAGTCTAGGAGCTGTCTGATAAAAACCAGAGGAGAAAAAACACAGCCCTCAGGAGAGCTGGAGTTTGATAGGTTTGAGAGGGTTGGACATTTTACAGAAATCCCATTCAAGTTTCTCAGTTAAAAAATTCAAATGTAACATTAAAATCTGATCAGGTAAAATAATCTCAGAGGCCAGTCAGTCCATCAGTACATGGGGCTGCACCTTATCAAAAGCAGAAGATGCTTATATGCTGTATGATCTAGAACAATGAGCTTATCATCATCTATATCAATGCTTACTTTATAAGCAAACAGCAGTGGATCTAATCTGTCATCAGTCGAGGACACAACCTCATCAATTTTTTTT